ATATATAAAAAAAAAGTGGGGATAAAATAGGGTGTCCATGCCATCCAATGACCTTACTACAGAATATGTGGATGACAAGTGGCTATCTCAACTACTAGGTCATTAGCTTGCGGTAGTTCACTAAGCTCCCTTTATCCCTTGTAATTTTCTTTTGAACTTTAAAAGAGTGAATTCTGACTTTAAACATTCAATCAAGGTTTTTAAAATCAAACCGTACAGGGGACCATTCTGGCTCCTATTCCTGGATTGAACGGTCTGAACAGATGATTCACTTGACAAAAAAAATAAAAAAATGGAAAAACAAAATAGGCCAAAAACCATTGTCTGGATCGATGGTCTGGCCACCCGGGTCAATGATTTATTGACCAAACCAACGGTTTTGGCCAAAAAATGGTTTTGGAGTAAAACGGAACCGATCAGGTTCCAGTTTTTCCAGTCCGACTATCCAGTCCATTCCTATTTTGAAAACACTGCATTCTATTCACACAATCGAATCTTTCAAGTGAAAGTGCTTAAATCGATTTAGAAGAAACATAAGCCAAGTATGAAAAGTTGTAATACCCAAATACTCGTAGAGATAGAGAACTCTAACTAAAAGTTTCACCTAATCTCAAGCAAGCAAAACTGGTGTTATGAATTAGATGAGCTTTGCTGATAAAACTCGGTGAGGAAGCCTGAAGAGGTAAAACCAGTAATTTCAAGCAAGAAAAAAAAAATTAATATCACACCATAGTTACTTGGTGCCACTCTGGCATTTGGAATACCTTTGGAGTCGGTGTGCATCAGAACCCCTTCCCTCACTTTAATCCCCTCTATGGTCACTCTCCTCTTTTAAGTTTGATGACCCAAGTAGACCATCTCTCCTATCGACAAAGGATTCTGTGCCATCAATGTAATATGAAGACATTTTTTCTTCACTTGTCTTTATTCTCGAACAGTGTGACTATTAGCCCAATTAGGGATTAATCCTCAGTTAGTATGTGAAGATCTTTCCCTTCATGAAATCATACATTGGGCTGGCAATTTTGACCCCAACCCATTTGATCCACCCAAACAATCCACTTTAGAATCCACCAAATCTATTGACGGATCAATATGGATTGAGTAATTCATTAGGGTCGATGGAAAAAGGGTCAGGATGAATTGGGTAAAGAGTACCCATTAGGGCTCAAGTTGGATTGGATTGCATGGGTCAGGATGGGTCAAACTCAGCTCCATCTGTTCTCGTCAAATCTCAAAAAAATAGCAGTTGAAGTGACTTGAACTCAGACCTCCTAACGAGTTTATATCTCATTAGAAGTCCAAACCACAATGCCACATTTATAAAGTAATTCCAAAAACTATTTTATAAAGTGATTTTATGAAAAATACTTTTACAAAAGCACTTTTACAAAAGTACTTTTAAACGAAAGCACTTTTATAAAAATACTTTTACATGAAAGCACTTTTATAAAAGTACTTTTATGAAAGAACTTTTACAAAAGCACTTTACATGAAAACATTTTATGAAAGTACTTTTATGAAAGCATAAAAACACTTTTATAAAAGTACTTTTACACGAAAACACTTTTATGAAAGTACTTTTACAAAAACACTTTTAGGAAAGCATAAAAACACTTTTACACGAAAGCACCTTTATAAAAGTACTTTTATGAAAGCATAAAAACACTTTTATGAAGTACTTTTATGAAAGCATAAAAACACTTTTATGAAATACTTTTATGAAAGCACTTTTACGGAAGTACCTTATAAAATTACTTTTGTGAAAGCAATTTTATGAAAGAACTTTTATAAAAGTTATGCATTTTTTTTGCATTTTTTGCAGTTTTATGTTATTTTCTACATTTTCTGCAACTTTTTGCTATTTTTTATAATTTTTGGTATTTTTTTCATTTTTCTGGTCATTTTCTACAATTTTTTTGTGCTTTAATGCATAATTTTTGCATTTTTCTGGTGTTTTTCATGCATTTTCTGGTATTTTTGCGTATTTTTTTTATTTTTTTTCTACAAAAGTTCTGAATTTTCTACATTTCTTAGTATTTTTTTATATTTTTTGTAATTTTCTGGTATTTTTATATTTTTTAAAATTTTCTACAATTTTTAGTATTTCTTACATTTTCTACAATTTCCTATTATTTTTTGCATTTATCTACAATTTTTGCATGTTCGGGCATATGAGATGACCTAACTCGTTTTTGTCACGTGGCAATCTTGAGAGAGATTATTCTCTCAAAAGTTATTATTTCAGGTATATAGGCCGTTCTGACCCTTTTTTGTATTTATAGGTGAGAACAAGTGGATTTGTATGGGTAAGGGTGGTCAAGGGTCAATATGGATGGATCAAGTGGATCAATATGGGTGAGTCAAGGTGGGTTAGAGTTAGAGTGGGTTATGACCCTTTAACAAGGATTGATGATGGATTATGGTGGGCTGATGGGCCAATATTGGTGGACTGGTATTCAACCCTAACCCACCAACCCACCCATTTGCCACCCCTCATACATAACTGGTGCACATAAAAAGACAATGAGAATAAAAAGTTGTTTATGTTAAGATTTTTTATCCTATTCAGATTAATCTCGAATGAGAGGAATTCCTACATTCATGATAAAAAAATGTATTCCTCCCAACCAATTGATTGACAGAGCACTTGCATTTGAGTTGGAGATTACTACCAACGGTCCACATCCAACTCTTATACCTCAAGAGATCTCACTCCTGTGCAAAGTTCCATTAAACTATTTGATGATGGTTCTTTTCATCCTGACTTAGGAAAAGCTGCTACTGGTATTATTCTGTTTAGTAGTGATGATTCTATCACTTATGCTGCAGCTCAAGATATTAGAGCTAGAGTACAGAATGCTTGGAAGCTGAATGGTGGGCCTTAATACATGGCCTCCAACATGCCAGAGATCTTAGACTAAAACAATTGATTATATTATCTGATTCAGTAAGTATAGTAAATGGTATGCATTACTTTACTCTCCAAGGAAGCTGGAAGGAGAAATCTATGAAGGAAACTGCTATCACTCTACTATCTTTTTTTTATATGTAAATATTTTATCATATAAACAGAAATATGAATAGAATGGCCCATACTCTAGCCTATAATGCATGTAAATATGGTATATATGGACAGGGCCAATATGTACTGCAGCACCTGGATGTATCGGCTTCTTCTATTTCTGGATGAATGATCATTTCCTGCAAAAGAAAAAGAAAAAAAAAAGACAAAAACCACCTTTCACTTCTTCCACCTTCAGTTGTTATCAGCATATGATTTGGACGTGCTATTAAAATTCTGTTAAAATTACAGTAGTGACTCTATTTAGCCTTTTAAATCAAATGGACCAAAATGTTAATTGTTGGTTACTTTTAATATTTGCAAATTTTCACTAAAAGACCTACATTCCCAAGTCAATGAAAATGAGGGTTTATTGCATATACATCAGTTATTTTTAAGCTTTGAAGACAAGTCACCAAATATCCATCCATAAATTAATAGCCACATATATCATCCATATTTTCTTCTCTATTGATGAAATTTTATAAAAGTAAACATCAAACTTGGGATAATTGCCAACCTCTGAGTGGGCCCAAATTTTATAGGTGGCATATTTAGAGGATGAGCTTCAATGTTGATGGTTTTGATCTGTCATAATGCCATTAATTTGGCCATGTCAAAAACCAAGTGATTTACCCACAAGTAATTATCAATATTAATAATTAAAAAATTATTTCATTAATATATAAATAATTAATAATAAAATATAAAACAATAAAAATATTACTAATTAATTAATTAATAATTGTTACTAGGGTTGATTTTCTCACTATTTTCCCTTTTGCAACCAAACAATGGAACATAAAAATTTTCCACCCATTTTCCCTTTCCCATCCCACCAAAATCTTCCCACAAACCAAACGAAGCCTTAAAGACAAACTTGATTGTCTGTTAAAATTAACAACAGAATAAAGAGGAGAGGTTTTAGCATTTATAAAATACCTCAGGAGGTACAAGGATTTTCCCTAAAACAAAACTATTTAAAAATCCAAAAGTACTTAAAATAAGTAAAGAACTAGAATACACAATGTAGTTGCATCTAATTCCTTTAAAACAGATGGCACTCTTTTGTTCCTTCTCATGCTCCAATCCCTACTTTTAGGAACTTGGTGTAAGGATCAAACATACAAGTAATTTGATGGTCAATTGATTGGTGAACTTGAACCAATGGTAATGACAACTTGAGCTGAACAAACATACCTCTGCAACTAGCATATTGGTAGCCAAAGCATGCAGTATAGTCAATATGTCTCAAGGAACCCTCACAGAAAGGTAATATGAAAATGAAATTTGGTAGTATTTGACAGTTCTCTTAAAGAACAAACTTATAGAAACAAGCTTCATAACCATCATATGATTCAATTACTGTTTGTATGAATAAGTACTACTCAACACTTTCTTTCACATAGAATCTCTGGAAAAATGAATGAAGCATCTAATAGCCTGTATAAGAAAAACACAGCTAACAGTTAATATACAGGCTTACACAGCACGTTTACAACAACCAGCATGACACAAGGAAAAGCAATTTGGATTTGTGAGCCAGATGCGAAATCGCTATGGATGCAAACTTATGGCATAAATGCCAATTGAACAATTCACATTCCATCATTTTTCATTCTTGGCATCCTTATAGAGTAATCCAACTCAGAACATGTAATAAAAATGGGCATGGATAAGAAGTCATAATGTTTGGCTTGCCACTCATATACAGTATCAAATGATTCAAATCCAATGACCTTGAAAAAGGTTTGGTAATACAGTGAAGAACTTACAGAACAGATTTTCTATATATAAAAAGCAAGTATGCAACCCAAATCTAACTTGGAGACCCAAACAACTCTAAATCTAGACGATGGACACTTCAAATTGAATGCTTTCATGAAATAAATGCTGAGGATGCCTCAATTAGTCTTAAGATTACCAAAAGCAAAAATGACAAAAATTGGTGCCGGACAGAAGATGAGATTTATCCTTTGTGAATTGAAGTGTTTCCTTTACAGCAATTTCAATCCCAATCCAAATTTGGGAATAGCAGTTTTATACATGTCATGTCAATCTGTGACTCCTTTTCGAGTCATGGGAAACCACTAATACAGTTCTAACAAACCAGAGTTTGATGACCAACAATTAGATTTAAGATTTCACAAACACAGAAAGTTGCACCAGGAAACAACTCAATAATATATTGCTACAGAAGGAACCTTGAATTTGTCTGCGAGGAATGGTATTGCCTGCAGTCTCTCAACCAAATCGTTGTAAAAGGCATACTCTGCTTCATAATCATGCAAATGAAGTTCTGCCTTTTGGTTGGTATGATAATGATGTTTTGCTTCCACCGATTTCCCAAAACCAAACATACTAACTTTGTCACAAATTCCCAGTGCTAGCATGACAGCTTGCATACCAGAAGAATAATGGAACATAGCACCATCATGGGTAGGACCCCATTCTTCAGGGGACTTCCCCGTTTCTTCTAAGAACCGTTTCATGGAGTAGTACTTCACAATCCGAGTACACAAGACGTCGAACCGCGGATCTGTAACTAGCAACGGAGCCTTGTGAGAGGAATTGCAGAGAGTGTAATCCAGGAAATGCACCGGTTGGCAAATGTACATAACGATCGGAACAGTTTCGCCATAAGGGTGGCAGAAGCAGCCATTTCTTCTGGCACATAGATGCAATATATTGCTGTTCACGAATGAGATACTGGTTTTCGACCCTACATTTCGTTGAAACCCCTCAGTCCTGGCATTGTTCAGGCGGATCACAATCTCGTGGCTGTCAATCAACCCCCCATACTCAGACTTCAGTAAAATCCCACTGTTCCCAACAACCGCACAAGAAGCATATGGCCGGTCGGAATCACCGAACCCATAGTGTCTATCAAGAGGCCGTTTCACCAGGCTGATCAACTCCGACATGATCTCCGGTTGATAGCGCTTGTTCCTGGACCAATCACGGAGGATTCTCCGGAAATCCAACCAGAGCCTGTAATACTTTGGGGAACGAAAGTTGATTGGCAATTTGCTAACAGAAGGTCTACTCCGAACGTCAAGGTGATTCAGACGCTGCCACGATGAGATCGAGCGGCCACCCCCTGGGGCGCCAAAGTTCCCTTCTAGCAACTGCTCGACTTCTTGCTTGGCCTGCGCCTCTCCCATATCAATCGCCGCATGCCTGAGCAGCGTCGAGTTGAACACCGGCACTGCCAGTTTCACTGTGACATCGTTTTCCAGCTGAAAGTAACCGAAACTCCGGCGAATGGCGGTTCTACAGCTCAGCGTGGTCACAATCACAACAAGGAGCAGGAGACTGAACAGTGGACGAACAGACCTCTTCATCGGAGCGGGCAAATCGGGAGACCGCCCATAGATTGCTCCTAAATTGGGGGAAAATAAGCAACAGAACTTAACCAGACGCCTGGAATGAGAGACATCATTTTTCACAGACGTTTTCATGGAACCCCCTCAACCCCTCCACCACCCAAGCAAGTAAAAACAGATCGGATTACCCGAAACCTTTCACTTAAGTAACTCGGGTGGTGGAACAAGTACATGTTGCCATGATTAAAAGAATGAATCACAGATCTTGAAGCGGAAACCTCGCCATTTCTTCTCAACCCAATCAGATTGCAGATGGGATAATCTATAACCCAGAAAATAAAAAAAAGAAACCAGAGTAAGCTTCAGAGATGGAGCCCCAGCTGGAGTCTGCAGCAGAAAGACAAAGGTAGTTAAGGAAGAAAGATTTGAACAAGGGAAACAAAAAGAATCAGATCTGTAAAGAGACGGATTCCAGCTTAGTGAAAAGAATCCGATACGTGATAGTAGCAGATCCCAACCTCAAAGAGAGTTTCTTTCTCTCTTTCAAAGCGGCGAAATCCCTTAAAACCCGCAAAAGCGCCTGGAGTGTGGAGTTTGTTCTGTTTCTGTTACGCAACCAAAAAATGGGTAATAAAACGACAGAGTCACAGACAGACAGACAGACAGACACAGAAGACTAGAGCAGAGCTGTTCTACAGCCTTAAAAGGCTGATTCTACCCTTTTATCCTGGCTTCTCCATTTACAGACCGTTGGATGAGAAGGGCAGGTGGAGGATAAATCCAACGATCACACTGCTTGGGAGTTTTTTATAAACGTTTTTGTAAATTTTGTAGTCCACTGTTTCTTTGGAAGGGCTCCACTGGGGGAATTTGAACTCAGGTGTAAAGGTCGAGTGGTGGATGACGACAGGGGTTATTGGCCATTTGGCTGGTAGGTTTTTCAGAGTATTTTATTAATAAAATATCACTGAGGGAGAAAATACCCTCCCCAGATGCACAGAAGGAGATTGCAAGCAGACTTGCATGCGTTTAATTTACGAGTCAACCACACTACAGGATACAGATAGATACAGACCGCAGAGGGACTCGTCTCTACTGTACCGAACACTCGTCTCTCTAACTTTAGGCTGCATTTGGAAAAGATGCAAATAGAGTGTAAATGAAAATATGCAGAGTGTATTTCGGTCTATACAAATGTAAAATTGGCAGAGTACAAATAGAGTGTAAATGCAAATTTATAAAGTACATTTCGGGTTGCCTTCCCGGGTCTCGCCGGTGTTRCCTGTAGGTCGTGATGTGCCTCGAGATGGCCGTCTCCTGTCCCCCTGCCGGTGGGGAATCCGCTCCCGGGTCGTCGCTCTGTTGCGTCTGGCCCGTCTGTAGTGATAAATTTACTTTTTGCGAACGAGTTTTAGTTGTAATGGATGTACAACTAAAATTTATAAAGTACACAATATGCTTTTTTAACATTTGATCAACTTCGATCTTTTATGTAAAATTCCCTCTCATTTTTTATGCGAGCATGCCTTGGAAGTCGTGTTTCTCGTAGGCCTCATTCTCTTTTTGATAAGTTATTTAACTGGGTAAATATGTACTCAGGTAAGTGTTTCTTAAGAAAGGCTAAACYGGATAAGTGCATTTATCCATGTTATTTTATTTTCCATGCAAACAATACAATGACCATTTTAACCATAAAAATCTATTATTATAAGGGACATTTTTGTCCCATTCAAGTGTTGACAACTTTTTCCTAAGGTGAGAAAGTTATTTATCCACACCTACGAGAGATAAGTATTAAGAAAATAAACTTTTCCTGATCCCCACATAAACTGAAAAAAGAATATGGGATTCTTAATCAATGAGAATCAAAATCACATTGACCAATTTCCCCCTCTCTTAAAATCCAAAAAAAAAATGCCCCCTATTGTCAATGCACAAATGTAATTTTGCCAAACACTAGCAAAACTAACTGGAGTAGTGCATAACACTCTTCCCCAAAAAAAGCCATATTATCAGACAACTTTTAATTGTAATGGATGCAAATACGAATCCCAATAAAGTAATATACTTTTTTTAACAAAAGTCCACTTTAAATGCAAATTTACTTTCTTTTGTCATATAAAATTACATTTCATTTTGGATCTAAATATACCTTCAAAATTGTATTTTTTTGTCATTGTCAATGCATAAATAAATTCTTACCAAACACTAGCAAAATTGAACCGAAATACATATTTACACTAAACTGTCATTTACTCTCTATTTGCACCATTTCCAAACATAGCCTTACAATAATTAGAATTGAACAATACCGTTTACTACGACCTGGTATTAGATTGATTTGGATAGGCCTTAAATAGCCCTTAAAAAAGTGACAATAAGCAAGAGATCCAAATTAAGGGAAAATGTAGGGAGTGATGCCGAAAAGGCTTTGAGCAATCACAATCTTCTGATATCATATTCGAACCCACACATTAATTTAAAATTAATATGAAGTTGATCTTGTATTATAGATGTTACCGGACAAAGACAATTAAGCACTGCAATTTGGGTGGTCCAGGTCGAGCATTTGTCAAATTTTGAGTGGGTCCGGATTGATCTGACTTGAGGACCAGGTCCTATGTGTAAATTCTTCAAGTTGGATAACAAATTTCTACCTCTAAAAATGGGTTCAATTATGATGCTACAAGAATATGATACTCAAAAATTATAGCCAATCAATGAAGTAGATTTTCAACAAAATTCACGGGTGAGAGATTGATTTGGAATCATAGGTTTTATTCTTAGGGTTTAGTTTGAAAAGAATACAAATGTAAATATGTACAGTGCAAATACATACAAAATAATATGAAACATAAGGTTTTGTGCTCTACATATTTACATTTGTACTCCTTCCAAACTGAGCTTAAAGACCATACCAAACAGAAAGACATGATACCGAAAGAACTTGTAACTAATAAATTATTGCTATAAAAGTGATAATTAATCAAATGACATTTATCAAAATTAATAAAGGTTTTTGATTGATCAAAACTCTTCTGATACCATGTGTTCTGGCAGTATAGATTTCCCTAAAGAAAGACATTGACAGAATTAGATTGCTTTCTTCTCTGGTTCTTGCATTTGATTTGTAGGTGGAATGCTGCCATCTCCATCAACATTACAGAATTTGGAGTCTCTTGACTAGTAGTTACTATAAAGTATGAATGCAAATGGTTTTGTAACTTGTAATATGGATGCATTGTCATTCAAGGAATAATTTAGGTTACGTTTGTGACATATATTGTGTGAATGCATTAGAAATTGACCCTTTCTTTTTAAACCATCCATTACTTTTTATTAAAAAACTATGTTTGGCTTGAATCACTTTTTTAACTCTTAAATCAGGTTTACACATACAATCTCTGACATGGAAAACCACGCAACCCGACCACACTTCAGGTTTGAATCATGGGTCTATAATTGAACACAATTCAGTGAGTTCGGATTTGCACCTCACAAAATTAGTCCTCTCACCGACGTTACAACATTCTTGGCTGTCCGTTGGGAACAGCATGGTTGAGAGTGTTGTGATGTCAGAGTGGGGACTAATTTTGTGAGTAGCAAATTCAGATTCTAATTCAGCTGGTATTTGGAACCCAATCATCACAGAGCTCTTCCTTCTGGGCTTTGGCAAATATGCCTCCCCCAAATTGATCAAACAAATCCAAGTCAACCAAATCTAGCATATAAGTTTGTTTACTCCAAACGTTTGGAGCTTCAGTATTAATTCATATTTTTTTTTCCACCTAAGGTTGAGAATTTTATATTTAAAGGGTTTCTTGTATCAACTGACTAGTCTTGCGCTACTGAAACAAGATACACACATATTGATTATTGAAGGTGTTATGTGGGGATGGTAGACTTGGAGAAGCGAGCCCCAAGTCAGGCTGGTGCCAATTTTTGGGCTTTCGATGGATTTTGGAATATAAAAAGAAAGGCACATGACATCTTCCAATGGAGTTCTCTACAACGTCTCAAGTATTCTAGTATTGGAAACATCTTCTATTGATGATATCATCATTTCTGATATTATTATGGGAAGTTATCGATACACAGCAGTATGTATAACGTCCCACGGTGTATTAGAAACATCTTTTAATGATGACATCATCATTTCTGCTACTATCATTGAAAGATATTCTTAATATACAGTGGGATATATTGTGGGGCGCAGATGTGAACTCCTTCTATGTGGGATCATCGGGGATGGTATATGGACCACAAAAGGTATGAAATACGCAAACATTAATAGTATTTTTATTTTTTTAAACCCCTGTAATTTGATATATTTGCTGATAACTCCACATACTGTTTCTTTTTCACTAAGCTACAAATCCCTTACAAAGGCTACAACTATCATTGCATTCTCAGTAATAGTTGAATCAGTATACCGGTGATTTTATTCCCAAAGAAGAGGCAGGAAATGGCCATTCCCTTAAATGGGGGAATGACATTCTAACAGGAATGGGAATATATTCCGATTCTGCCCAACCAAACAGTTAGAATTGGAATAACTCATTCTGATTCCGATTTTAGACTCCTATTCCAGTCAACCAAACAGAGCCTAAGATTATCATTTTATTGACATGGCATTTTTTCTATTTTCAAAAAAAATTGTTTCTAATGTGTAAAATATCAGAGAAGGCTACAAAGAATTACATTCCATTGATTTCAGAATTGCATCATAATTTATAGAGTGAGAGACAAGCCCTTTTTTTAAGCCTAGAAATTTCCATTAATCCATGTCAAACTCTGTTCATCTTAAATTATCCTAATCCATCTCAAACTCTATCTTATTGTAACCACCTTATCTCATTACGTAATATATTGAATTCACAATTGTTTTTGTTTTCAAAAGCAAATTATATTTATTGACAAACACGCCATAACTTGTTGCTTACACCAGTAAATTAGTGACTGATGAATTTTCCAATTTACATCTTACTGGTCCGTTTGGCTCATGGAATAGGGGTCTAGAATTGGAATCTAACTGTTTGGTTGGATAAAATCAGAATCCAATTCCTATTTTCAGTAGAATGGCATTCCTCCATTTAAGGGAATGACCATTAATTCTCTCACTTCCCTTAGGAATTTCAATTAGAAATGGCAATGGGGCAGGGACTATATTCCCCGTCCCAGTCCCTACTGAGGAAAAAATGGTCCTCCATTCTTGACCCCAATAGAGATGGGTTCCCCATTAAGGACCAGAATCACCAATACGGTCTTGTTTTCCGAAAGGAAAACAAGTTTGTAAAACTCACTGGTTATGAATTCAGCAAATATTTTGGCATACAAACAAATAGAAAAAGAATGGCTTGTAAATAAATTAACATTTAAGAAACTTTTGACTTGTACGTTGTAATGGGGTTCTTGAAACTAGGGTAGAAATACCAACGAGCATTCATTAGGGATACTACAAAAATACTAACGAGCATTCATTAGGGAGATTTCAAAAATACTAACAAGCATTCATTGAGAAGAAATGCTTATCTTTTTGGCGTTTTTTCTATTATACTTTTGAGAGAGAGAGAATGTGTTATGATCCATTTGTCCTACGTTAGTAGTATGAGATGCTGTTGTAGGGTATATATGTGCTTGGGTTCCCTCTCTCTATCAGTTATCTTTTAGGGGTTAGTTCTCC